GTATATCCTACCATGTTTGTCACTGGTGTTATGGCTGGCTGCACCACAGATCTGGGATGCTGGGGTGATGTCTGAGTTTGTGTACAGAGAGTCATTTCACTTGGTATGAGGGGGAAGAGTGGGTTGAGTCAAACAAATGGTTTTACTTGAGTAGTTTAATACAGAATAGTGGCTTTTTTGCTCTTGGGAGGGCTGGCTAGGTGGTGTAGTGTGGGGAGGACCCCCCACCCCCAAAAAGCTTCCTCTGTTAGATATGTATTGCTTCTCTGTGAAATGGGGTGGTGTTGCGGGTGTGGTCTGAAGTCACGTCAGATGTAATACCTTATGTTCCAGTCTTTGCCAAACAATAATTTTTCTCTTCTTTGGTAAAGATGGCTTTCACCATGGTACCCGTGAGGCAGCGTCGTGTCCTCGAGTCTGTACGAGAGAGGAAGAAAGAAAACAGCAGTTTGCATTAGAGACTGCTGTATTCTCCTTGCACCTGAGAGAGAAAGATGTAAAGCTATGAACAGAACTGAACAGCTGTGATCCATATACTCCATCGTTAATACATTTTTCTATGAAAACGCTTGTTAGGAACAATATAATTGTATTAAGGTGTGTGGGTGATTTAGCAGGTACTTTACATCTGCTCCTAGGTAGGTCACACACAGATCTCTTCTGAAATGCTGTTTGCCTCTAGGAATAAATGGGACATGTGAACTGTGTAATTGCTTCCCAGCCACACTGCCAGGCAGCGCCCTCCTTAGACATGGAGACATGAGGCACACCTCTTTATCTCTGAGCACCCATCAACATGAATGCAAACAGGTGACACGTAAGCCTCTTGGCTGTGTGCTAAAGAGGTGGTGCTAGAAAAATACTTCTACTGGAAGTACTATCTCCAGTGTGGCCTAAGTATTCCTTTAGCAGAGTTTGGGGTAAGTGGTATACTTTACTTTAAATTGATGTGCTTGAAGACTGTCTGCTTAAGAGCATGTTCAGATTTCCTGAATTTTACACTCTCTGTGTGTGTGAACACGTTTTTATTTGCAGCTCAATGCTTTTCTTTTTTTTTTTTTTGACTTGCGTTTTCATTTATTCATCTCTTTGTGCCTTCTTCATTCTCCCCTCCATCAGCTCTGTAGCAGCACAGGAGTTGCATGTTTTGCACAAGGCCAGTTTGTTCAGAAAGCATATGTCCTGTCCCCATAGTGCACGGGGGAGATCCTGCATGCCAAGCTGATTTCCTTAATTTACTCAGGAACGACACTGCCATAGTCTTGAATGTTTTATCACACAATAGGGTTGTGATATTTGTGTCCTGGAGGCAAAAATATGGGCTTATTAACGTTGATGCCTGTTAATGTGAAAGTACCTTGGACTAGGAAATGCAATGAACAAAAGCAGCACTTGCTTTGCAGAGCATCCCATCTTGGTAAGCCACGATCTGGACGTGTGTGTATGTGGAGGCTTCTGAGTGGCAGCTGTACAGGCACAGCTTAAGTGATGGCTGTAGGGGTCCTGTCAGCAATGGAAAAGGCCAGTGGAGTTTTCCCAGCACTTGTTCATAGCCTCTGTCCATCTGCATGCTAGGTGAAGTGCAAAGCCAGAGGTGAATGGGATTCAAGGATGGGTTTACAAAAGGGAAAAACCCTAGAGGGCTTGGTGTGGAGCCTAAAACTGTGTCCATCAGTGAATTTTTTCAGCCAAGGAGTTCTTACTCTTAGAAGCAAGATTTGGGAATGATCATTCTAAAACAAATTCAGGTTTGTTTGTTTTTTTTTTCTTTTGGTGACCTGATGAATTCCAACTGTATCATCATTTTTTTTCTGATTCTTCCTTTTTTACCTCCCACTCCCCTGATGCATGAGGTATGGAGATATGGAAGGAAAGACTGGAAGGTATGAAGCTATAAAGCCTAATTTAAAAAAAAGCAAAATTGGAAGGAAAAAAATGGGATGAGTTTATAGTAACAGGGCCATGACTTTTAAAAACGCCACAGCAGTTTTTGCTATGAATATACTTTGCTGTGAATATATTCTTATTTCTGTTGTGTGGAGCTGGATGTGTCTGGGCCCTAGGACTGCAGGTCTCGGAAGTAGAGGGTGGAGATCACTACTTAAATATTTGTACAAGGAGGAGGACAGGGCTTGAAACTGCTAAGAAAATAGCTCTTTGCATGTCTCCAAGGATAGGTTAATTGTGCAGGGTTTCACAAGAACCACTCCCTGGAGATATCTGAATAATAGATTGACATTATGGGGTGCAGTGAAAGGTGTGTGCATTTCAAAAGCCTAAGCGGAAAATTTCCTTCTCAAGCAAATCCTTTAGAAAGCATTTTTAGGCCCTTTCTGTGAAGGGCTCCTAGTCCTCTTTCAGTCACTTGCAAATTTTATTTGCTACCAGCCATAGGGAGAATTGAGGTTTAAGTGGTCCGAATGATGTGGTGTTTTTGCCCAAACAAATACTCCACAAATCAGATATGATACTAGGAATACCTTTAGGTTTTACTTTCCCAAGGTCTAACCTTGACCTTTGTGTTTTAACCAGAGCTTTCACCCAGCTCTGTTCAGTGGAAGGATGCAGCTGAACCATAGCAGTTTCTTACAGCTCCAAGTAAGAGCTGTAGAGCCCTTCTTTCCTCCGTCTTGCACAGGGGAAAAAATAAATTAGCTTTCTTACAACATAAATTAGCAGTGATTAGGTGGCACTATCACTTGTTTTATTAAAAGTATGTTCTACATACCTATAGCTAGCTAACAAAATACCGACAAGGCAAATACTTCTGTACAAGTGGGATAGCATAGTAAAAGACATGAAGCTAACTTGTCTTTATATAATATACTGGCCATAAGATTTGCATTTAAGCCTTTTTAAGCAACAATTGCTTTAGGAGTACTGAAGCTGAAAGAACACGTACTTGAGTAGAGGGGGAGCTTACACAGCTCTTTGCCCTTGGAGAACATCTGAGAGCGAAAGAAACACCATCTAAGAGATGGAAGTCTAAATCAAATCCAGTCTTTGGTAAAAACCTCCTTGTTTGCTTTTTAAAATATTTTTCCCTTTCTTCTAGTGCCTTTCAATGAAAAGACCTTTTGTAGAGCTACAAGGTAGGCGATCTGATTTTACTTTGTTTTTTCCTTCCCCAACATGGGGGAGGATTTAAAAAACGAAACAAAAACCCTAGACCCCTTTTTGTTGGTATATGTGAGTGTGTCTAATGGATCAGGGCTTTTAATTTCTTCTAAAAATATTCTTATGTCAGTGTGTGGCTGCCTGTTCCACTTGCTCACTTGAACATACTGCTCCTTCAGACCTGCGTGGTAGATGCAGGCCTGCAGTTGTGGTGTATTTATGTAAAAAGCTCACTCATAACTATTACTGCAAGGTTTTTTGTTTCTATCTTTTACTCTGTTGCAAAACTTTGCATTAAAACAAAGCAGTGAAAAGTGAATTAGCTGGCTGTTGTGTGGTAGTGACTCTGTTGCCTAAACCCCCTTTCCTGCAAGGTTTTACTGTCATTGAGGGCATAATGTAAAATATGCCTTGGCTGGGGGAAGGGAGACTTCAAAACTGGAAATGGCAAAAAAGTGTCAGATGCTTTCCACTGACTCTTCAGCTGGAGAGTGTCTGGGTGTAAATCTGACCGTTGTCTGCGTTTGATCGTGGTAAGTCCAGACATGACTAAGTCGACTAATCACAGTTCTGTCTTGTAACCAAGAGCAGTACTAACAAAGTTGAAGCTTTAAAGATAGTCATGGTTTTAGCTTAACGGTGGTGATTGACACCCACATACTTCAGATACGGAGTTTTTTCCAAACCTCGAGCTGTGAGTTGCTATTCAAGAAATGAATTGGTGTTTTGTTATTGATGCAAACTACTGCAGTGTTTGACTTGAAATGAATAATTTTGTCTAGTTCAAGCTACAAATAGTTCCAACATACTTTATTTACAATTGAATACAGATATTTACAGTTGAAACAGCAGGTTTTACTTTTTTTGGTATTTTATTTCATCATCTAACTTACTTTTTGTATTTTGGTATCTTATTTCCCTCCTTCATAAGAGGCAATTTAATGCCAGTTTTATGTTGCTTTTAGAATGATTATTTTAGGCTTATCTTTTCACGTTCTTTTCTTTGAAAACAACCTAAGGCAGCTCTCTAATGTTTGTTTTGGGGGAAGAGAGGCTCAGTAGCTACTCAACAGGAAAGTACTAGTGCACTTACATCATTCTTTCTAGTATATATGAAATTTGCCAGTGATTTTTGTTATACATTCTAGCTGTTACTGCACTTTGATCAGACTATCTCTAATATGGTCATTTTTTCAAGGGAACAAAAAGGACAGAGAGAAATTTCTTAAATGTGTATGGGCCACAGGAAAATGTGTGTGTTGTTTAATGGCAATTCAGAATCAAGATTTAGTTTAAATGATTAATTACCATCATGATAAAAACTTTAAAAACTTTGAAAATTGGTCCTCTAAACAAAACAAAAAAATCCCAACAAAAACAACAACAACAACAGCAACAACAAAATGTTGCTTGGTTATTTTTCTTCCTGATATGAAAAAACTTTTTCAAGACTGAAAAATAGCTAAATAAAAATTACAGTAATTTTCTATTAATAAATATAGTGGGCATGTGGTATGTTCAAGTAGCTTTTGCCAGCTTCCACGCACATTAAAAACAGTTCTGCAGTTCATGTTCCAGATATCTTGAATACTTGACCTTGATTTTTTAGTCTTTCCTGAAGAAGTTAAAATTATTTTGTCTTCTCTTTGTAATAAGAGGAATGTGATAAAATTAACTATGCATTTTTTTCAGTCACAGCTGAATTTGATATTGATAATTGGCATAACTGAGAGTTTAAAGTGAAATCAGTGTAAAAGAGCACAGAACTGGTCCCACTGCTGGATGCTTTGTAATTCAAATAACGATTTGTATTTTAAACATTTGTCAAAAAAAGCCTTGGCAGAATTGTTCACTAACTAATCCTTTTCGCTTTGCTTTTTAAGGTGTCTCCTGAATTCTCACTATGTCTGATGGGGACTATGATTACCTCATAAAATTTCTAGCACTTGGTGATTCTGGAGTAGGAAAGACCAGCCTTCTTTACCAATATACGGATGGCAAATTTAATTCCAAATTTATCACAACAGTGGGCATTGACTTTCGGGAAAAGAGAGTGGTGAGTTTTCACAAACTGTGTGCTACTTTAAAATGGTATCTGTCTTGATGATAGCTAGAATCTATTTTTTAAAAATCTAACCTGCCGATCCTTATGTGTAGGCATGCAATCAATAGTTACTGTGTAATTAATCTTGTGACAAGGAAATGATCTCATTTTACCTGGTTATTTTTGTCGTTATTGTGTGTTGTCGTGTCGTTCGTCGTCCCCCCGCCATTTTCCCCAAAGTCAAAGTAAGAAGAGCTGATTCTAAGCAACCACTTCTTACTGCTCAGCAAGTGTATCTATGAGTGTATCTACTCTGTGAGTTGTGCACATAGTACCTGGAGTAGCACTTTTATTATTGAACTCCCTTCACGAGGAAGGATTGGGCTGTAGTAAAAATCGTTTTGCTGTTTGTGAACTGAAATGGCTAGTGAACAAGGACTGTAATGTTGATTTTTTAAAACCGTTTTAAGATGTGAATGAAGTGGGATAGCATGATACATGGAACTGATCTATCTTCCTGAGCAGTTACCACTACCAGAAAATTGTGAAAAATAAGGTAGTTTGTGTTTTTTTAACCCCTGAATTGTTATTAAACTAGGCAAATAATACTTTTGACATGAGGCTGAGCACTGCATTATGATAACCAATTGGATGCTAGTCCTTACTGCACTGAGAAATTGAGTTGACACAAGTTTTTTTCATTCTTATGTAGAAGTATTAAATGCCTTTCAGTGTAGTCTGATGATTTCCCAAGTGTCCAGAAATCTGGATGGTGTAATGGGCATTGTGCAGACTGGCTTTTGATGGATGACATGCACCACAGTAGTGGAAGGTGTAAATATCTTACTGAAATGAGAAACTGGACTCTTGAATAAGATAGTATTCCTTTTGTGGGATAGTAAACATGGTGGGTTTACTTGATCAGCATATTTGACAACTCAGGGTAAGATTTAGGTTTCACAACCTGAATGATAAAATCCACAAATTCAGCAAGTTTTTGTGTCTCTAAAGATAATGTTTGTAACTCTGGTAATCTTGGGTACAATGACAGTTGAGGGTAAAGAAGATGACCTAACATGAAGTGTTCTAAACAAGAAATGAATCTATTTTTATCTGATCCTTCCAAAGCTAACAGATGCCCTTATTTATATTTTCATGCTGAATAAACTCTTCAGCTTTTGTTATTATAATCCAATTTCTGCTTTTTAAGCTGTGATATGATAAGATCTCCCCTCAGCTCTTTTTCAGCAATCTTTTGGCAGCTAAGAAGAGATGTCTTTATGAGTATATTCTGTTTGCTAATGAGGTTCTGTTAGTGGTACAAATTTATTGCCAGATTGCATGATCCGATTGTTGTTTTCTTATAATTACCTTTTAATTTGAACACGATACAAGATAACAGCAAAAAGTAGAAAATCAAAATACTAAAATTAAGCTTGCCTAATGAAACTTAATGGCTGCCCTAAATATCTTTTGGAGTCTATAGTCTGTTGGGTACTGTTTTCCCAGTTTCACTTTTACCCTTATTTTTAAATATTCAACTGGATGCAAAATTAAAATGCAACCCATATTACTTTTGTCTTATAAAGCAGAGGGATTGAGTTGTAGTTGGGATCTTTGCATCGGCAGTGCTAGTTTTGCTGCATTTAATGACTTTAAATGTCAGTTATTTTGTGTTCTATAGAGGCTGGATTGCTAATACTCAGTCTTGCAAATTTACATTTTACAGGTGTATAGACCCAATGGGCCAGATGGTGTTGGTGGCAGAGGACAGAGGATACATCTTCAGCTCTGGGATACTGCAGGGCAGGAAAGGTACGTTCTGCCCCCTCTACCTAGCAAGTAAGGCAGTTGTCATCAAGCTAGATGCAAATGGAACCGAGTACATGAATTCTCTTTATTGATTGTTACATTTTAATTGTATGACTTAAGATGGGAAAGTGCGCTTACTTTAATTTTAACAGTGAGGAGAAGTTTCCTATGCACACCCATTAAATTACAACTGTAACTTACAACTGTAGAACATTAAAACTGTAATTGTTGCTTTTTGGAAACTTTACGTTTATTTTTTCATGATGAGGGTATATAGATGTTTTTAAAGCTTTTCTTTTTTCAGTTTTCCTTAAATTTCTGTAAATATGTTGAGGTCTTGGGAAGGTCAGACAGGTGAAATCACCTCAAAGGATTCTTTTCTATTTGTCTATCGAAAGACTAGCGTCCTAGTGGTTGATAGTCTTAAAATCAAGAACTGATGTGTATAGGGGACAAATTTCTGTTCAAAGTTTGAATTTCATTCTTATTTTAATTTCTGAATTTTGATCAAGTCATGCTTTATAGTAGCAGACACTATCCAAAGCTCTCATGCTTGAACAAAATGTCTCCTTGACTTCCTTAGGCCTTGATTAGGCCATAGTAATGTTAGCAATTCTTGTTATCCAGTCCCTACATCAGCAAAACAATTATGATGAATATTTCATTCTAGTTAATTCAGTCTTAAGCTACCTCAGTTTTATGACTGTATGCAATTATATTTTCAAAGTAACTTGTCAGAAGAGCCAACTAATTTCACTTTGTTGGTCTAGGTTTCGTAGCTTGACGACAGCTTTCTTCAGAGATGCCATGGGGTTTCTTCTACTCTTTGATCTGACAAATGAGCAAAGCTTTCTGAATGTCAGGAACTGGATAAGTATGGCATTTCTTTATTCTTTCTTTTTTCTCTCTTTCTTTGCACAGGCAAGAAGAGGGCTATGTTTGTAAATATGGAGTCTCACTGAGAAATAAAACTGAAAATACTGGGGTTTTTTATAGCTTTCTCAGTAAAAGAAAGTAAGCGTTGCATTCGTAACTGTAATAGCTGCTAGTGCTGGCTTTTAGTGCTTACTTGAAATTCAGCTTTGCCTACTGAACTTGAATCTTAACCTATGTGAAAGCAAGCTGAGAGAACATCGTATCCCCGACTCTGGTGATATCCAGTAATTTAAGTGTGTGGAAAGCCTATGCAAAACTCTATTTTGACTCACCTGAAGCTTTGTCAGCAAAACTTAATGGAAGGTAAATGTTACTAGGCTGGTGTATCTAGGTGAAGCTGTTCCCAAACTGCATCATCTGTCAGGAGAGGGAAGTATATGCTTTCCTGGCAGCTCACTGAAGATGCTTGGTGAGCATAACTCCTTAAGCTACAAATACACAGCTTCTGTGCTAGCTTTGTCAGGCTTCTGCTCCCCTGGCTTTTTCACTGGGTATGTGATAGTGGATGTTCACCTGTTCTCTGGCTCCTCGGTGCAATAGCAGAAGTGCTGTGACATAACAGGGAACGTACTTTTTTTCCTGTCTTTGAAAGAGTTGTTTTCCTGAAGGACTTTGTGTCCCCTGAAATGTGGTAGTGTTCTTACTAAGCTTCATGTGTGACAGTAAGTTGTGACCCCTATTCATGTTGTTGCTGTTAGGTCAGCTACAAATGCATGCATATTGTGAAAACCCTGACATTGTATTATGTGGAAACAAGAGTGATCTGGAAGACCAAAGAGTGGTGAAAGAAGAAGAGGCTAAGGAACTTGCAGAAAAATATCGGTAAGTAACTTCCTTCCAGTTATTGCTGTGTTTAAAGAAGAATGAAATGTGTTCTGTAATGCCTTTTCTGTATACTGAAGGGTTATTGTGAAAATAAGCATTTTAGAATGCTTAACTGGCCAGTATGATATCTTTTTTTTCTGTCAGAGATTAACTTTTTCTGCATTGCCTAAAAATTCATACTTAGTATTGCAATAATCTTGCACTGGAGATTGGTTAATCTTCTTCTTTCCTTGGCAGTAAACAAAGTAAATTTTCACATGGCCATGGAAACATGTGGCTTCAGTTTCTTTGAGAGCCTTGGGGGACGCATTCACCAGCGTTACGACAGTCTGCCTGCAGAGTGCTGGGTTCCCACAGAAGAGCAGTTCTGGTCCAGACCACGGTTCCCCTGTTCTCTGCCCCCTCCCATTCTATCTTCCCTCAACTGTTCAAGCAATTTTGTTAGGATTGTACCTTAGGTGAATTCTTAGTGACTTAGCCTCAAGGGGGTCAGCAGTGTTTTCGTGCAGGCATCCGCACTCTCAGAGACTTCCAGGGAGTCTGAAAACCAAGTCAGACCAGCAGGAAGACAGGGTAGCCTTGCCCTTCCCCTTCCCCACAGGCACAGGTCATGTGTCCCTAAAGGAACTATGTAAAATCTTTGTTCCTATCAGATACTAATTAATCCCATAGTACTCTTATACTCCCTTAACTCTTCTCTGGGTCTCATCTCTAGATTACATTTGCATTTCAGTGTGGATCAGAAGTGCACTTTTGAAGAAAATCTTCTGATCCATTTATTGTGGTTTGATTCACATAGTGGAGCAGCTTTCTAGCATGTGAACTGGATTCCTTCTCAGTTGAAAACTAAACTAGATGATGTGCTCCAACCAGTAACTTCCATTCAGTCTGAGGGACTAGATTAGAGCTGGTCCAAAGTAAAGCCCACAAAACATGCATAGTGTGAACACCAGGTCCTCAGTGATAACTGCCTTGTTCTGCAGGTCTAGTCCTGTTGTGTTTCCTATCACATAGTCACAAACTAGCTTTCTTTGACCTTGAAGAGTCATTGGAAGCAAATCAGAAGCAAACTGTCTATTAGAGACAAATGGGTTTAGCGCAATATTACCTTCTTACTTTTTCCTTCTCCTGTGAGAATGCTTGGTTGAAGTCCATGTCACACACACAACAGCAAGTGCATTTGGTACTTTAACCAGCTGCTTGTGAAGGAGCAAAAACTTTTAAACAGCAGCAGATGGCATGTAGCCATTTCTTAAAGATTTGGAAGAGATCTCTTTGCATGAGATTTCACCTTCTGGAAGTAATTTCTGAAGCATTTATCTTTGTGGCTGAAAATGCCAACTTAATTTAGGAATAGGGAGCTAAAAGTCAAAGTTGCAGATCACATCCAATCTGTAGGCAGTTACAAAGTTCTCTGCCCCCTAGAAGTGAGACAAGATAGCTGCTAGGAGTCACTTTGCCAAATGCTCCTGAGGGAAAGCAAGATAAATCCTGCTGCAGCAGACAGTCTTCTGGTAACAAAAGTGTGAGATAGGGAATATCCTCTTTCTGTGGAAAGGCCTTGTACTGGTAAGTGATGTATTTTGAAAATGATTGCAGGAGACCTACACACAGAGACAGTAATAGAATATTTTTGACCACTCATAGAATCTTGCAAGTTAAGTAAGAAATACTTAAAATTATGAAGTGATTGTTTCAGTCATTTTTGGGGAGTAACGCTAATGTTGCCACTCCAGCACCACCCTATGGGGAGCACCGAGCACAGAAGGTCAAAAGTCTGCAGATCCGCCATTGAAACATCCTGACCCACAATGATAATGAAAACTAGCAATTTATTTCCAATACCAAGGTGCCCAGAAACATTTTTAACAAAGACACAGGTGATCTGAACAGTGGGGTTTTTTGGGTTTTTTTGTTTGTTTGTTTGTTTTATGTAAGAGAGCTTATAGTTGAGGTGTCAACAGAGGAAACGGTCACCTTTTGTAGTGATAAGACTACCACATTAGGAGTCTTTACTGCCTTGCCTGCAGGGGAACATCCATACTAGCATTCCCTCTCTCGCAATGACACCCTAGCTGACGTAGATAGAAATCAGTAAGGGGAACACTTATGCACACAGGGCTATATAAAGTAATTGCATCTCTTGTGGGGAATGGAGCTGAAAAAAACAGACCTCGGGAGCATAACTTTGGGAACTCATACTGACCAGTGCCTCTGTAGATTGTGGACTCCATGATGTAAATTAAAGCTTATCCTTCTGCCCTACCTACCATTTCTTTAATTTCTTTTGCATTTCAGACCACTGACCACTTCGCGTCTTTCTGCTATGGAGTAGCAGTAACAGTGTTTGTATGATTTCTAAGTATGTGGCAGTAGTCATGTATTGGTTTTGCTCCTATGAATATAAACTGTGTGATGTAAGTTTGTGTTTTTTGTCTTCTGCAGAATACCGTATTTTGAAACCAGTGCAGCTAATGGGAATAATGTAAGCAAAGCCATTGAAACTCTGCTTGACCTCATTATGAAGCGCATGGAACGGTGTGTGGATAAATCCTGGATCCCAGAAGGGGTAGTGCGCTCCAATGGGCACAGCTCTACAGAACAACTGAATGAGGAGCAAGAAAAAGGCAAATGTGGCTGTTAACTCGGTTACAATTAAGTTTAATGTAGATGCTAAAGTATAGTACAGTTGCAGCTTAACTGTTTAACTTATGGATAAATCACATTGTGTAGTTATTTAATGAGCTATATTAATTCTTGATACTAATTTTTGGTTTTTTCCTCTCAAACAACATTGACCTTTGCTTGCAAGGTATGCAGTTTATTAGTGATGGGACAGAGGTTTAATTTGGTGTAGCACTGGATATTACTCTAATTCTCTACTTTGGAGGGAAGGGAAGGAGAGAAATTTTCATTATCAAATTTAGAAACATCTCTCTATGGGCAATGAGAAAGGATAGGATTCTGAATTGAAGAATTCTCAATTGCCTTTTGAAGGGTCTGTTAACTACATAGGATAGGCATTTAGATTAGATACTATGACAGCTCTTAAGTCTCTATTAACGGCAAGCTTACCAACATGGTTCTTGGTTTTGAAAAGGAACATTTAATCTTTCATCAATCAATAACAATCTTAAAGAGCAAATTCTGTGTTTTCCGCAAAAGCCTGCGATTAGTTTTTCCTTGCTCTCTCAAACCATCAGTTTTTAGTGATGAAAACCAATAGAAAGTTATTCTATATAGAATAAAAAACTACAGAGAAGCACAGGGGTGCATATGTAGAGCACTTTGGGTATGTTATGAAATTGAACGTGTAAACTGCAACTGTACTATATAAAATATATCCAACACAGCCTATGAGACCTCCTGACATCATTTGAATTTCTAGAACATGCATATACATTTATATGTAAATGGCATAACTGTACATCTGTTGTTATGTTTCATTTATGTTACCACTCATGTTTTAACAGGAATGTAGGGCAACCTAGATGTCAGCAAAATTTCATCAGAGCTAGTGCTTTGCGCTGAATTTGTTTTACCAAACACAGATTTGGAATGTTTCTTCAAATTTGGATTGAAAAAACGAATGATGATTGTCTTCTGGTGAGATGCAGCTAAAATACGAGTTCTGTCTAGATCAGTATTTCTAATGCACGTTTTATTCTGCCAACCTTTGTGTCTTGTACATCTTGGTTATCGTATATTCATTTACGGCTTGTTCATTTCCTTTAGGTTGTATTTAAAAAAGAATAGAGTTGCTTTTCTCTTTTTTTCCCCCCTATGGATCACAGAAATGTCAGTTTTGGTTTCAGTGGATCATGTTACGTTTTGATCGTTTTTATTTATTCATACAACCTAAGGCACAATCAGTATTTTTTGGAGTCTTTTTTCCAGACTGATTTATAAGATGTGCCTACCAAACTGTTTTCTACCCTGGCAGAGGTTGTATAACTCTGAAGTATTGCCAATTAAAGTCATGACATGCCAAATTGAGTCTTTTTTACAGACTTTCCACAGCAGTTTGTTTACAAAACTCCAAAGCTATTACTTCTTTAGAAATTATATATTTATTTATTTAAATATTCTAACTACAGCATTTTCAGGCAAACATTGATACCAGTTGTAAACATGAATTGCAGCACAACAAATTTTTTGAAGGACCAAAAATGTTTCTAGAATAGGAGCTAATTAAAAAAAATGTATATTTGGTGTAGCGTCTGGTTATGTTAATAATGCAAGAATAAGTGTTAAAACTTGGTTCTTAAAATATTTTACAAAGTAATGCATTGTTCTTTAACAAACACAACATGTAAATATTAGATTTTTATCACAGCCTACACAGAATATTTTAAAAGTGCAATATAATTTGACTGCTCTGGGGCTAGGACAGAGATTAAAGCAATTTATATTGAATAAATATAGGGTTTTTGTCTACTATACAATACCAAGATTCTAAAATGTCTGTGGACCGGAGTTACTGTAGTTTAACTCAGAGTGCCTTTTGAAGTTAACATCACGTTTCTGACCAGTAGAGTATCGAACTCTACTGTAGGACACAACACATTTCACTGTACTTCAGTGTCTGAATTTCTTCTAATGTAACTCTTTGCTTTTCAGAGGGTTGCAGTGGAACTTTGTCATGCATTAACTTTAATGGGAGTTTTTGTGCTTATAGCTCCATCCATTTCCTGAAAACAGTAACGATTATTGCAACCAACTACTGAGCTAAGTGACTACTGAAATGGTGTAAAAATATTTCCTTTTGAATACTTATGTTTAGATTGGATATTAAATATTAAATACTGAAACTGTCATATTTTGTCATGCATATTATATGTAACTATTTACTGTATAAAGAGAGTCTACATAAAATTGCTTTGATGTCAGCTTTTGAAATGTGCCATAGGACTTATCTGTTTGAATTATTCTGCGACAAAACTCTTTTGTTCCCTTTTTAGCTCTCAGGAGAAATCACGGTAAAAGTTTCTTGACAGTGAATTACACTATTCTTACTAGTCTATCACTAGTTCTAAAAACTAACCAAACAAAGAAGAATTCTCATGTGATGAGAAACTGTAATTTCAAGAAAAGTTGTTTCCATCCAGTGTCAGAAGAAAATGTTGATCTGTAATGGAACAAAGTTTTGGAAAGGACTTCCATTATGATGCTTTGTCCTAGGATTTCTTACTAATATAAAATAGTTAAACATTCCTGATATGAACCTTGTCAGCATTTGTTGAACTGAATTGTAACATTTCCTGTTGTCTCAGTTCAATATCAGTCTGTGTCCTTCTGCACGGCCTCGATGCGTTACGGTTTTTTTTAGTTCAAACGTGTCTAAATTCTCTTCTGTGGCCTAGGTACTTCTTGATGTTACCCTCTGGCACTGACCGAACCAGTTGGATGGAGGGGTTGATGCCTTCTGGGTGATGCCAGAAGGAGCTTAAACCCATAGAAGAAAATAGAGGCAACACTTCCGTATTCATAAGACATTCAGAAAGCTGCTAATGTGAGCATATAGCATGTTCAGAGCAAAGGGAATAGAGCAATACACTTTATAAAATCTACTACTTCTACAAAGGTAAGGAGCCTGATTTTTCAGAATACCTACTTCCATCAAGAGCAGTGTAGATTACCAGGTAGGTTATGATATGCTGGAGGGCACAGCTGCTCTTCAAAGGTTCCTTGACAGGCAAGAGAAATGAGCTGAACTAAACCTCCTTGAGTTTAACAAAGGCAAGTGTGACTGGGTGTTCCATCTGAGTTGGAATAACTCCATGCGGTAGTACTGGCTGAAAAAAACATTTTGCAGAAAAGAGGATGTGCATTCTGTTCAAAAGGGGATTGACCAGGAGCCAGAAGTGTGCCCTTGTGGCAAAGAAGGCCAACTGCATCTGGGGCTGCATTAGCAGAATGAAGCCAGCAGGTTGAGGAAGTGTTTCCTTATATTCAGTAATTACAAGACCGCATCTGGAGTGCTGTCCCCTGTTTTGGACATCCCAGTAGAAGACAGACATTGACACGCTGGAGTGAGTCCAGCAGATGCCACCAAGGGGTGGCACAAGGGGTAGGAGGAGAGAGAACTGGGTTTGCTTAGCCTTAAGAAGAGAAAGCTAAGGGGGACCTTTCTGCTGTCTTGAACTATCTAATGGGAGGGTATACAGAAGATGGAGCCAGACTCTTCTCAGGGGGCACAGGAATAGGAAAGAGGCAACAGAGAAAAGCTGGGGTATAGAAAATTCTGATTAGACATTAGGAAAAAATTGTCACTGTACAAGCGGTCAGAAATTGGAACAGGAGCCAACGGAGGTTATGGAATCTCCATCCTTGAAGACACTTAAAAACTCAACTGGATGTGGCCCTGAGCCACCTGGTGTAATCTGTCCTGCTTTGAGCAGGACTTTGGTCTAGATGACCTCCAGAAGTGTCTTCCAACCAACATGATCATACGCTCTATGAACCTGATCCTACATGTGTACATGCCTGACAGTTGTCAGTTCTTTTATATGACTGTATATGACAGTTTATATGAACGGTTTATGACAGTCCTTTTTCTTCTATTAGGAAACATGGACAAGTATGTAAATATGTGCAGACCAGAGCTTTGTTAGGAGTTTAAGGTATTGAGTTGAGATGTTTGGTGAAACAATTCTTGCTGTGGTAACCTGTGTCGAAAATCAAACAAGTGAGCCACTCAGTTTGCTGCAAAACCTCTTCTTCCAGTGAGGCTGTTTTTCAGCTGGATACCTAATTCTGTCTGTGAGTAACTGTTAATGGAGTAGGTGTTCATATTCTTTTTTGATAATTAATCTGGATTCTGGCTCCAGCAACCTTCAATCTTTAGATCAGGAATAAGCAGTTCCAATCCACAACATAATGGCTTGTACTTGAAGAGGAGATTAGTGCCTCAATATGAAAAGAGGGGAGGGAAAAATCCAATTGTAAATGCTTGTAGTATCACTGTGCTTTCACATCCTGTCTGTCTGCTGGAGGTGTTGGTGACAGTCTGTAATCCACAGTGTTTAAATTGTAGAAACCACCAAAGACTTCATAATACAGTACTCTGCCAAGAAAAAGCTGTCTTCAGTGAAATAAATACAGCCCATGGGGAAAAAAAGTCACATGGGCAGAAAACTCAAAGTAATCAAACTGAAAAAGAAGGATTGCAATTGCATATGCCAAAGCACAGCAGCTCTAGACCTAAGCAAACTTGTCACTATTTGGTTTTGCCTCTAGCTGTAAACTTTGTGTCTTCATAGCTGCCCTCATCAAATTGCTCTGTGTGTGTGTCTCTACTATTTCCTCTTATCAGCTGGGCTGCCATCTTCTGTCACAGCCACAGAGCCTTCCCTCCGGCATGCAGCATGAGACTAACTAATATCCTGTAGAGTCCTATCTTGCTCTCTGTCTCTGAGTCGGTTCAGAGCTGTTGCTCCTTAAGGCTGGGGGTGAGTACTAGTCACCAGTCATATGCTCTAGCCTGTGTCTCCTGCAATAGGATGTGGCTGAGGTCTGGTTTTCAAAAAGATTGGAGACAAGTTCTGTGATGATAAGGTTACTGACTCTCCTGTGCTAAAGCAATTCTTTTAATTCCTTCCATCTTTCTTAATATAGCCCCAAGCTGACTGCCTTTTTTGTTGTTCTAGAAACCAGAAAGCAAAAACTGCCCTAAAGGCACATGCAATTCAACACATGGATTTTTCATCAAATACTCAGTTAATTTCTTTTAAATGGAGAAGCAGGAAATGTGGTGGTAAAGCCTTAACACGGTGAGGAAGATTTCAGACTCTGAGCTGGGATGGCACCCCAGGTTGAAGAACAGAGAGAAGACACTCTCCAATGCCAAACAATTTAGGAAGGTGCAGGGCCTAGCATTTAGGTCCTTTCACAATAAACAGGTAACTGTTGGAGGCAGAACAGAAGGAGTAATAGGTTCCTTAGAGTAATGCATGCTGAGCCATCGGCTTTAGACAGTACTTCAAATTTTGCTTTAAAAATTAATTCCCCCGTAGAAGACTTGGATCTTACAACTATGGAAATGGAGCAGAAAGTGATTTGCCTGAATTCTAGAGTAAATCAACCGTAGATTTAAAAATCTATGTCTGACTCCCTTTTCTTTCCTTGGGTTGCTGTCTCTATCCTTACGTTAATACTGAGCCATTTCAGCTTCATTCATTTTTCACACTTAGAACAAAATTTTGCATTTATAATGAGAAGCCAGAGGGGCTCAAACACAAGCTGATCACAAAATCTTTTCATCTGTATTTCGTTTCTATACTAATATATGAATGTATGTTTCAGGGAAGTAGAGAGTCATCTGGGAAAGAGAAAAGTCAGTTTACTTTTGAAGATGCAGTATTGCCTAATAGCTCATCCCAACTTTGTTTCTGTGTATGGGTTGGGTTGTTTGTTTGTTTGTTTGTTTTGTTTTGTTTTGTTTTTTAATACTTTCATGAGCATGAGTGTATCTCAGCTTTCAACAGGATTCTCTCTGGTGAAATCAAAGGACGGACCATGCTCTTACAGCTAGTATGCATGTGGCTGATATGTATATCCAGTGAGTAAATGTAGCATGTTTGTGTTTTTTGGCATAGTATTGCTTTTGTAAATATTCTTCTCACCCTTTTCCCCCCAATAACCTGTTAGTGTAATGATTTAGAAATTATGGCTCCAATCAGCCAATAAATGGAGCTTTCTTACAGCTTCAAAGAAAGCACAGCAATGAGAACTTCCACACAAACTATAGTCTCAGCATTGTTCATGTGGTGGCCTTGTGGCCCAGTTTCTCATTTTTGGAGCAATAATCTCTTCCACATTTTATATATGACTGATCTGTTTTATTAAGAGATCTTGCTAAGACATATAATAAGTCTCATGATGGTCCTTGTATTTCACAACTGTCAAAGCCTGCCAAAGACATGAAGACCAATTTGAAAAGCTTATGCTACTCTACTACTCAGAGTTAAAACCAAACCAAAATCCCCAAATTAAAAAATGACATGTTCTTCCAGAATTGCTTTCCTAGGGTGGGAACGTGGCCTGGAGTGTCCTCGTTTTGGTGAGGTGAAGGGTCAGTCCTACGTCGTGCTGTAAAGGGGTTTATGTCCAACAGGAGCCGTCTTTCCTGAGACCGCATCAGAAACAGTGGCTGTGTCTGGTCTCTTCAGCCACGCTCAGGAAAAGGAGCTCTTTGTTTTTCAGGTAGGCTTTATGTGATCCGATTTACAGGCTTCTTGGGGGTATCGCTTTATTTTTGGCTGCTGGTTTCTTCACGGGGTAGTTTGCTCCGCTCAGATGCCTACAGCGTGCGACAGAGGAGCGTTGCTGCTCTCTCACGGCTGTTCGTTGTGGGTGTGAGGTAGAGGCTTCCACGGCCCCCCATACAAGTGGCAGTGCCATTTCCCAGCGAGCAGCTTGTGAAGAGAGACGGCACCGGCGTGTTGTACCCTCTCTGTTCGGGGCCCGGGCTGCCGCCGGCCCTCCTGCCGCGCCCGTCGGCAGAGCGAGTCTGCCAATACCCAGTACGCTGCTGGCGCGACAGGGATACGACGTGAAATGGCCTGGCGGCTCTGCGGCGGGTTGTGCCTGTGCCTGCTGAGGAGGCGGCTGGCGCCTGTCACTGCCCGCGTTGCGGCTGGCTGTCGCTCCGCCACCCCCAGTAACTCCT